AATAACATATAAAGGCAAACCTATAGGAATTACAGCTGACTTCTCCATGGAAACTCTGAAAGCCAGAAGGTCCTGGATAGATACTCTAAGAGACCACAGATGCCAGCCCAGACTACTATACCCAGCAAAGCTTTCAATCAATATAGATGGAGAAAACAAGATATTCCATGACAAAATCAGATTGAAACAATACTTACCCACGAACCCAGCCCTACAGAAACTTCTGGAAGGAAAACTCCAGTCCAAGGAAGTTAACTACAACCAGAGAAACATAGGCAATAGATAGCCCCACTTTACCAACAGCCAAAAGAGAAAAGGGGTGGAAGTCCACACATAATTCCACCAACAACAACCATTCCAAAACAAACAAGAACAAGCAATTAAATGTCATTAATATCCCTCAATATTAACTTAACTCGCCCATAAAAAAGCACAGGCTAACAGAACGGATTTGAAGACAGAACCCATCCTTCTGCTGCATATAACAAACACACCTTACCATCAAAGACAGATGTTACTTCAGAGATAAGGGTTGGGAAAAGATTTTCCAATCAAATGGTCCCAAGAAACAAGCAGGGGTAGCAATCCTAATATCTAACAAACTAGACTTTAAACTGAAATCAATCAAAAGAGATGAAGGAGGTCATTTCATATTCATCACAGGAAAAAATCCGCCAAGATGAAGTCTCGATTCTGAACATCTATGCCCCAAATACAAAGGCATCCACATTTGTAAAAGAAACATTACTAAAACTCAAACCACACATAAAACCTCACACACTATAGTGGGAGACTTCAACACCCCACTCTCACCACTAGACAGGACTACCAGACAGAAACTTAACAAGGAAACAAAGGAACTAATAGAAGTTATGACCCAATTGGGCTTGACAGACATCTATAGAACATTCCATTCAAACACAAAAGAATATACCTTCTTCTCAGTGCCACATGGAACCTTCTCAAAAACTGACCACAGGAAAAAGAGAAGGGGATAAGAGGAGGGTAGAAGAAGACATGAGGGAGCAGGAAGGTTGAGTCGGGGTAAGAATAGAGGAGACCAGGATGAGAGATATCATAATAGTTGGAGTCATTATAGCTTTGAGGAGAGAGTTGACACTAATGAGATTTCAAGAGATCTATAAAGATAATACCAACTGGGAAACTAAGTAATAATGGAGAGACTACATTAATAGCTCCTACCTGATGATAAGGTTGATGACTACCTTATATGCCATCCTAGAACCTTCATCCAGTGACTGATGGAAACAGAGGCAGATACTTACAGCTAAACACTGAAATGACCCCCTGGAACCCAGTGACAGAGATGGAGGAGTGATGAGCAAAGGGGTCAAGACCATGCTGGTGAAACCCACAAACACAGCTGACTGGACAAGGGGGAGCTCTTGAACCCCAGACTGATGGCTAAGAGGCCAACAGGGGACTGATCCAGACTCCATGTGAGGAGGCCTCAGAAATCTCTGGGGCCTTAGGTAGTAGATTAGTGTTAACCATAACATACAAATGAACTTTGGGAGCCCATTCCACATGGAAGGATGCTCTCTCAGCCTGGACACAGGGGAAAGGGCCTACGTCCTGCCCTGGATGAAATGACAGACTCTGGAGATCCCCCCAAGGAGGGCCTCACCCTCCCTGGGGAATGATTGGGCTGGTGGGGGGGGCTGGTGGAGGGACAAGGGAGGAAGGGTGGGAGAGGGAGCTGGGATTGACATTTGAAGCATGCATGCTTCTAATTTAAATAAAAACATTTTAAAAAAGAATGTAAATTATCCAAGCCTGGTGCTGAGTATCCCAGCACTTGAGAGGCAGAGGCAGGCAAATCTCTTTTAGTTTGAGGGCAGCCTGGTCTACAGTGAGTTCCAGGACAACCAGGGCTATGTAGAAAAAAAAAAAAACTCTGTCTCAAAAACAGGAAGGGAGGGAGGAAGGGAAGGAGGAAGGAAGGAAGGAAGGAAGGAAGGAAGGAAGGAAGGAAGGAAGGAAGGAAGGAAGGAAGGAAGGAAGGTAAATGCTTTATGGTTCTCTCTCACCTAGTCAGAATGGCTGCCAAGAAGAAAATAATAACTAATGCTGGTGAGGATATGGGGAAGGGAAACCCTTACAAAACACAAGTGGCAGGGGAGGAGGGGAGGGAGCTGGGAATGATATGTGAAACAAGCTTGTTTCTAACTTAAATTAGATAGATAGATAGATAGATAGATAGATAGATAGATAGATAGATAGATAGCTAGCAGTGGAATTATGAACCTGTATGATCACTGTGCCCTCAGAATGGAGGGCCCTCAAAATATTAAAGATGAACTACCATATGACCCAACCATACATATCTAGCTATATAACTAAAGGACTCTGTATCAGCATTCAACATAAGACATCTATCTGCATGTAAATATTTACTAATATTCTACTCACAACAACCAAGAAATGTAGCCAACCTAATACCAAAAAATGAATAAAGAAAAATGTGATAAATATACACAATGGAATTTTATGCAGCCATGAATAAAGTAACATCATGACATTAAATGAAATAAATCAGATCCAGAAAGACAAATACAACATTTTTAATGTACAATTTAAACATGAAATCCTATATGCGCCTATGTAGACAGCATGCATGTGTACATGCCATGAAACTAGAAAGGGAATCTTGAGAGGAGAGGAAGAGCTCTTAAATGAGCTAGACAATAATATGATAGGTGCCTTGAAGAAATCAATTATTCATATTCTAACAGAAAAAAGTATTTAAAAATACATTCCGAGTTGATTGTAGTGGCACAAACCTTTAATCCAAGCACTTGGAAGGCTTGGATCTCTGAGTTTGAGGCCAGACTGGTCTATACACTAAAAATCAGTTTATCTCAAAACACAAAGCAAACAATAACTCCCCCCCCCAAAAAAACCCTGAAGTATCTTATTCAAAGAATACCCACACAAGCAAGCACGAGTATACATGTACAACACACCTGATAGCAGTTCATGTACTAAAGGGCATTCCTAATATGAAAGTTTTTTATAGTTAATTAAAAGTACTGAATTCATAAAAGTTTGTTCTTGAATTCATAAAAGATTTCTTCAATATTCCTCTGCTGAATAAAAATATGCCAGCTAACAGTTTACTAGTTTACAAAGGCTGGGTATCATAGTTAACATATCCACTCCAAGGTTATCTGATTTCTACTACAGGGTCTGCCCATTGACAAGTTGCTTGCATTTGAGCAAGTCTCTTTCCTTCCCTGGGTATTCATTCCTTCAGTAACTAAAGAATGAGAACTGATGAGCAAATGAGTTAAGACTGGGCTGGTTTAACCCACAGAAACAGTCGACCTGAACAAGGGGGAGCTCTTTGACCCCAGACTGATGACTATGTGGAAAGCATGGGACTGACCCAGACCCCCTGAATGTGGGTATCAGTGAGGAGGCCTATGGGGCCTTGGGTAGTATTTATCCCTGGCATACAAATAGACTTTGAGTGCCCATCCCACAATGAAGGATGCTTTCTCAGCCTGGACTCTTGAGGGAGGGCCTAGGCCCTGCTCTGGATGAAATGACAGACTATGGATACTCCCCATGGAGAGCCTCACCTTCCCTGGGGATCAGAGTGGGGGACTGGGAGACCTGGTGGGGAGTGCAGGGGAGGAGGGGAGGGAGAGGGAGCTGGGATTGACATGTGAAACAAGCTTGTTTCTAACGTAAACAAAAAAAAACCAATATATGTACATAAAAAATGTAAATCATAATGCAAAAAAAAAAAGAATGAGAACAACTAACCTTAAATTAAATGAAGTGATAATATTTAAAGCAGAACTCTCTTTCAGCTTCTAACAGAGGGAGACTTAGAAAAAGACACCTTTAAAAAGCCAGATTCCAACAGGGTGTAGTAACATGTGCCTTTAAGTCCAGCACTAAGGACTGGTGGCACAGGCTTACAGCTGCAGCACTCAAGAGCCTGGGACAGGAACTGGAGCCTACACTTGCACTTTTTAAAGCATAACACCAATAAAATTTAAAAGGAGATTTTAAAGAGCATGCCTTATGAAAAAATAATTACCAAATCTCTTCTATAGTATCAAACAGATATTTGAAACAAGGCTATTAATGTTAGTTGAACCCTACAATAGTACTTCCAAGTGTAATCTAGTGAGCCTTGTTCCCCTCAATATAATACAAATCTACTTGAGAACACTTGTTTACAAAACCATAAAACACATTCCATAAATAATTAAAATCTATTTATTATTGCAGCCTCAATCATCAAGTATGCTGAAGCATCTTTATAACATCAATGTGACTTAAATTTCAAGAGGAATTGTTACTGCAAATCATTATTGTTCATTCAGACACAATGACAAAAGGCATTTCTCCTGGTATTAAGGACTTGGAGATGAAGATATTTAAAGAAAAGAAATATTCATAACACATTTCCTGAATTTATGAGCTGTCAATATTTCCCTTTCTGCAATCGTAACCCACAATCCCCAACAGACCTTTCTGTCACTAACACCCATCAATATTGAAATATTTACACATGGCATGACACCTTCCAGTTTGTTTGTCTCCAGTAGTTACAGTTCTTAAAGTAAGGTCTCTGATCAATGAAATGATTCTATTAATATTATTTAAAGAAAATGAGGTAAATAATCAACCAAAGGCACATGTAACAGAATTTATATTGTTAACTAAAAGGAAATCTTTAAAAGACTCTGGACTTTGCTATACAAAGTCAAAGGAAATGTTTGTTTTGTAAACTGAATTCTCTCCAGACTTTAACATAAACCATCACAATCAGTCACTGTTTGCTCAACAGCCAAAGAGTTAACAACACAGCTCATCACTCTGTTAAGATAATAACATTTTCATTTATGAAGGAACTTTCCTAAAATGAGAAGAGGAAATTAAGACATTTGGCAAGAAGAAATCCGTCTATAAGCAAATACTTGCAAAGTCAAGGGCAAATCTGTCACAAACCAAGGACCTACTTGCTTCATGGCAGTCTCTCCAATTTTGTCTGAATGCTTGCGAATGCTCTCCAGAAAATCTTTGAGATCAGACATAGAAACATCCTTTATCTCCTCCCGAAGCTTGGGGATGTTGTCCACCATCACCTTACAGAATCGATAGTGGCTCACTTGAGGCAGATAGGTGTGTTCCAGATGCTCCAGAGTCTTGAGCGCAGGATAGTGCCTACAAAAGAAACCAACCACCTTAGCTGATATTAGTGTTACTTAGCAGGACAAATATATTATTCAGAAAAAAATCTGAACCTCAGTTAGCTTTCATTGTACATTAAGACAAATCCAATGTAGTGTTTTAATGAAAACTTCTTACCTATTAAAAATTAATATATGCTTTAAAGACTAGTAACATCCAAAAATCTGTCCAAAGAATTTGTAAATATGAATACCAATAAAATTAATCATATATAATTTTTAATTATCTCAATGTCAAAATACTCTATAAAATGAAATACCCCAAGCTAGACTTCTAATGAAATCAGAGAGAAGAGATTAAGAAATCATGCACATGTGTGTGTTGTGTGCATGCACAAATGTGTATGACAAAGTGTGCAAATCAATCCAAAACAATCATTTCAGGATTTTAGGGAAATTAATGGAACTGCTCCACAGAAGTGTTACTACTGTCCTTGCCTGAGACACTTCTGTTACTTCACACCTGCAGCTCCCCTGGGCCTGGTGATTAGACATTTGGAACAAAGATTGGAAAGTATATAAAGTGATAAAGGAAATAAATATATGCTAAAATGAAAAAAATCAAGATTTTTATATTTCTTAATTTCTTTGAGAATATTTTAAAGTAATAATTTAACAACACACAATTGGATTCATAAAATATATCATAAACATCAACAGAATACAAGAAGAGGAAAGAAGAAAATGAGCTCCTTAAAGCTAACAGTTTATATATATCAGATTTGTATAGGTAAAGACTTTAAAGCAAACAGTAATAAACTGAGATGTATATTATAATCTATAGAGCAAACTCCATGAAAGCAAATCAAAAATATTTTTAAAGGGGATGGAAAGATGGAGCAGTGGTCAAAAGCATTAGATGCTCTTGCAGAGGACCAGGATTCAGTTGCCAGCAATCATAAGGTAACACAACCATCCACAACTACAGTTCCAAGGAATCTTACACCCTCTTCTGGCCACTTCAGTCACATGGTGTATGTATATACATGCAGGCAAAATGTTCAAACATATAAACTAAATAAATGTAAAATGAATTAATATTTTCAAAATCAACAGAATAAAATTGTACATTCTAACATATTTAAAGCCAAGGAAGGCAGAAAGGAGGAACAGGAACAAAGAAGACTGGAAATACTCTGAAACAGAAAAGTCCAACCCTATCAATAACTACATAAAATATGAAAGGACTATAAACTCCAACTAAAAAGCAAACACCCAAAGTAGAATTTTAAAAAGTACAATCATATTCTGTCTACAAGAAACATACTCTAAAGACACAAATAGGCTGAAGAGAAACTGTACAGAGAAACCTCAAATACACTGAAATCAGTATTTTAAAGTTTCTTTGTATTGATTTTTTAGTGTATAAAATAGGTTTCATAACAAGTTTTCATACTTTTTCATTGCATCTTGCTCAAATTTAGTTCCCCAGTACCTTCCTCCCTCCTTCCTCCTCCCCTTTACTAATCATCATCCTCCCCTCAAACAATCTCCTTTGGCTTTCATGGCATTTGTATAGGAAAGGAGGCTGTGTATAGTTAAATCTAGATTCTGCGCATAAGAGAAAACATGGTTTGCTTTCTTTCTATTCCTTCATTACCTTTTTGTTTCTCCCTCCTCACTGTTTATATCCCTTCCTCCTCCCTCAGTCACCTCCTACTACTATGTCATATGTATTTATTATATAATGCTAATAAAATTATTATGCAAAGTATGTCTGTTTAATATAGACTCATTCTTACATGGACATAAGAAGGAAAATACTAAGATTCATAAATCAACTAAAAACAACTATTTTTTGGGAGACAGGGGCAGGAAGGTCAAGGGTTCAAAGAAAGCCTAGGCTATACAACAATCAGTCTCCAAAAAGTTATACACGTAGAAACTGGCATGGGGGCACTTAGCTATAATTATAGCACTCAAAAGACAGACGTAGAAAATTGGCACAAGTTTGGGGCCAGCCTGGACTACATAATGAAATACTGCAGGCAGACAGGTCGGGGGGGGGGGCAATGGGGATGAAAGAGGAGGGGAGAAGAGAGGAGAGTTATGGCACATGCCCTTAATACCAGAAGGCAGAGGCAGGACCATCTCTGTGAAATCACGGGCAGACTGATTTACATAGAGTTCCAAGCCATTCATTGATTACATAGTGAGACTGTGTTTCAAAAAGAAAAAAATGTTTTTACTAATATCCTGTATATACATTAATTTTTTTACACGTTTCTTATTGCCTCTTTATTCTTTTTAAGTCAAAATATAGTTGTAAGTTTCATTTTATGGCATTTTCCTACAATGCCATTAACTTCACTCTTATCCAACTCCTTTCCATGTTGTTCCTGTCTCTCCTCCAAACTTCAACTATTCAACTTCCTACTCTCATATCATGTGTCACACTGCTCTCCTTTCTCTCCTTCACTCACCTCTACATTTTGTATCTTCTCATCCCATCTCAGGGTATTCTTTCTACTTTCATGACTTCAAAAGAAACTTTAGTGGATAAAAATATATATGCCTCTTGAATTACAGACCAATTTACATTAGAAAATAAAACAAAGTAGCCTGGGTATTAAATAAGAAATAAGTGACACACACATAATATTTAAGTCTGGAGTACATATATAACAGAAAATATGTGGCATTTTTCTGTCTGGCTTTATTCACATGAAATACTGCAGGCAGGCAGGCAAGTAGGAAAGCAGGGAGGGAGGCAGGGAGGGAGGGAGGGAAGGGGAGCAGGGAGAGAGGGAGAGGAGAGAGAGGGAGGGAGGAAGGAAGAAAAAGAAAAAAACAGGACATTGGACTTTTCAGGCTTTTGCCTAAATCAAGGACAGCACTGGTTCTCTTTAGTTCTCTACCTCAGAACAATGTACTAATAGGTTTTTGAAGCAAAGATATGAGCTCAGAGCCTTTCCATAAATGTTTCCTGGATGGTACTAATTTAAAAACAAACAGACCTTACAAATACAATCACAACATTTGTAAAGTATACATGCAAGCCAGACATGGTGGCCCTCACCTGTAATCACAGCACTTGAGAGGCTGAAGCAGGAGCCTCACCATGAGTTTCAAGGCCTGGATTACACAGTAAGTTACAGGTCAAATCCTGTACCCCCAAGCCAAAAAAAAAAAAAAAGTACAAATATGTAGACATGCACTATTTATTAATAAATAGGTATAGACATATGTCAGCAAATATATAAGTCATAGACATAAAAGTTGAAAGAACTAGGAACAAACATACAAAGGAGAGAATCATAGTGCTTTTTCTTTAGACAGCAAAATATTGACAATATTTTTCTTCTGATGAAACAGACACAGTGACCCAGTTTGGACATAGTCTCTTCGCAGCAGATACTTCAGCTCTTCTTGCCTCAACACACTCAGCACCACAAACGCAAAGACCAGAAACTAGTTTATTCCCTTTTATGTCTTCTCTTGTATGTTTCAAAAATCAAACTCATAAACACATAAATACATAAACAAAAAAATTGTTTTGAAAAAATCTTTAAAAATATAAAAATAAATTGAGGCCTGGTGTGGTAACACCCACCTATCAGAAGACAGAGGTAAGAAGATCACAGTGAAAGCCAATTGCTCTAATTCATCTGCCTAAAGGGCAATGATTCTCAACTTTCCTAATGTTGAAACCCTTTAATACAGTCCCTCATATTGTGGTGATTCCCAACCATAAAATTATTTTCATTGTCACTTCATAACTCTAATTTTGCTACTGTTATGAATTGTAAATATCTGTGATTTCCAATGATCTTAGGTGATCCTTGTGAAAAGGTCATTTGAGACCCCTGGGAGTCACGACCCCCAACTTGAGAACACTGCTATAGGAGATTGCTTAATAGAAATAAAGTGGTTGAATATTATCATTAAAGGAGGCTGCTTCAGGTTGTTTTTAGGTTCCTGAATGTAAATCAAAATTAACCAACCTATAAATTTTTTTCTTCTCATTCATAACAATAAAATATGAAATATAAGATTTCACCACAGAAAAAACAGTAGTTCCTTTCATAAAAGGAGAACATTATTAATAAAGATATATGCTACAGACTCTTTAGGAAACATAAAACCTGACAGTATATTCAATATTTACAGCTCAAAGAGAAATAACCAATCATCTAGTCATGAATGCTTAACAAGAAATAGACAAGACATACCACTTTATAAACAAGTAGATCCTGACTAATACCTAAAACAACTGTTTTCAGTCATTGAACAGCAGGCAGCTGCTAACAGAACTCCAAAAGAAGAGAACAAACAAGGTGGGCTATCTACCTGAAGGTGGTCTCTCCATCATGGACACACTCAGGAAAAACACTCACAGAGCCTGAAGATTTGCTGACGTAAGGCATCAAATAGTAAGCCAAAAAGATTGTACGGAAGGGAGGGGGCAAGGGAGGAGAAACCTGCAGAGGGCTTCCCAAGAGTCTTTGTTGAGTAGTAGACCAAGGTATGTGAAGTGGGGAAAAGGGAAGAGAAGGAATGGAGGACAGAAGTGGGAGGGGGGACAAAAGGACAGACTAACAGGGAGGTATAAGATAAACAATTCAGGGAGGTCAAAAATGCAAAGAAATGCCCTAACCCCAAACATTCAAATGGCAAAGCTCATAGGTACCACTGCTCCATCCAGACCAGATTAAATATTCTGTAAAACTGACTGCACTTGGCCTAGCAGACCCTTTGATTTTAGTGTTGGAGAGTGTCTCACTATGCATCTCAGCAGGCCTGGAACTCACTACAAAGACAAGACTAGCCTCAAACTCACAGAGATCCACCTGCCTATCAGCTTCCTGAGTGCTGGAATTAAAGACATGGGCTATCATAGATAGACGTAGCAGGGCTTTAATATGGGGTCTGAAGAGATCAGGCCTGCAAATCACTACTTCCCAAAATAAAGTCCAACACCAAAAGAAAAAAAAGCCAAACTCCAGACACTCATCAACATAGTATTATAATGTCCATTATCCACTCAAAAATTATTTTGACCTATAACCAGAAAAACAAATTTAGTTCAAAAGTAGACTCAAGAAGTAGCAATATAGCAAATACATGAAAACAGCAATTAGATCCATGTGTATGTACTTAAAAGAGAAATATAAAGTCATGAGAAGGAAACATCAAAAACCAGTGGAGAGCTATGGCCCGCAGCTCAGGGACTACAGTGCTTTTCTAGCCTGCACAAAGTTGCCTGAATTACATCCCCAGCAACATAACTCAAGCAGAGTGATAAACAGCACTCAAGACGAAAAGGCATGAGGTTCTGACGAAGTTCAAGGGCATCCTCAGTTACACAAAAGTTCAAGGCCAGCTTGGAATAGTGAAAGCCTATCTTTAAAAAACAATGTTTTGTTTTTAATTTTTTAATTTCTTATTGTATTTCGATGTGGTGGAAGTGCATGTGTGGAGGTCAGGGGACAATTTTGAGGTATCAGCTCTCTCCTTCCCCCTTTACATGAATTCTGGGTATGGAATTCAGGTCATCAAATGTGCAACAAACATTCTACCCACTGAGTCCTCCAAAGGTAGGTTCTTTTTTTTTTTGTTTTGTTTTCAATCAGGATATAAACAAGGTAACGTTTTCCACTGGGATGTCTATAACTATTTAAATGGAAATGCCTGACATATTTACTCACTACCTGTTGTATACATTAAACTGTCTCGCTGTACCCCATATTTAGCATGTAATTATTATTTATCAATTAAAATTTTTAAATTATACCTCTGCTTACTCTCCATTCCTAGGTGTTATTGTTGCCATTGCTCTTATTTCAGAATATGGCATAGTGCTATAATACACTTGCATTTTTGCCATAAGATATGGTGATATTTTGTTTATGATCTAATAAATAAAATCTCACCTAAAGATCAGAGTGCAAAGCTAGCCACACTAGTTAGCCATAGAGGCCAGCAGTGTTGGTGGTCCACACCTTTAATTCCATTTAAATAAGCGTTACTATTACAATAGCCTTTGGTTATGTGTGATTTGCCATAATTTTTTGAAGATTCACTGTAAGTTAAAGAGGATTATTGTAAACTTACAAGCAATCACTTTAAAGAAATAAAGAGGTATAGATTATAAAGCATTAGTGAAGATACAATAGAATCCTAAAATCTAGTTAATTGATTGAGTAGAAAGCAGATCCACAGAGAAAGAACAAATAATAGTAAGGACAAATGGATAATAAATTAGAATGAAAGTCAAATAGCAAGATCAAGCCACACATGGTAACACACAATGACAATCTTTTATCTCCAAAAGAGAAAAAAAATTAATAGGCTTATAATCCTCAAATCTGATGAGGTTACAGAAATTAAAGACTGAAGACAGCTAAGTTGCAAGCAGAGCACCAGAGAGATAGAGCAGTGGTTCAGAGCACTTGTTGCTCTCACAAAGGACCCACATTCATACTCCAACATCCACATCACATAACACACAAATGCCTGTAACTCCAGGTCCAGGGGATTCAATGCCTTTTTTCTGGTCTCTGTGGACACCCACATGTACATAGCAAGCACACAGACATATACACACATACATATAAATGAATAAGAAAACAAATCTCTCTTTTAAGTATTATAAATTAAAGAAATTTTAGATAATAAAAACTGCTCAATAAAAAAAATCTTACCTTTTGGTTTTCATCTGGTCCCTCAGTTTGCTGTACATCTCTAGGACTTGAAAGAGAAAACAGGTCACACAAGCATCATTTAAACAAAATAAACAACTAACTCAGCTAAGGAATTGCATCAAGAATCCTACTCCAATCCCAGTTCCTCACCTGGAAGACACAGCATTAACTTATCAACAGTGGCAGAAATATTTCTCTGTTGTAGTCGACACTGCTTCAGCTCTTCCATTGCTATTACCAGCTTGGCAAAAGGGGAAAAAAATAGAATTATGCCAAGAACTGTAAATAAAAAGTTTTCAGTTACATTTTCCTACTCTGCATCCAATTCATCCAAGAATCCCTGTTTCCTAGTAAGACCTACAATGCAAGCTAAGGAGCTTCCTTCTTCGATCAGTGAACTACTCCTACATGGCGTCCTACTTTCTCCCACCCTGCACACACATCTAAAAAGGGCTATGTACAATGAACCCTTAAGCACAAAGGCTATCCAGGAAAAAACAAACATTTGCCTATTTTCTCCAAACCCTACAAAGAGTCCATGATTCACATTTTCTTGTGAGTGCTGGACTCCTGGAGGAAGGTAGTCCTTCTAATCCTCAACTAAGTTCCAACTTTAACAAACAAGTTCCATATTTAGAAGACACAACTTTTATACAAGATCTAGTTTACTGGAGATTAATTTACCCACTTCTCATAGTCATCTCACAATGTAATAAACTATTTCTGTAAAATATAAACTGTGAAATTAAAAAATCTGCATATCTATTTATAGGATTCATCCCACATAATACCCCAAAAATTATATTTCTTAGATGCATGAAAAGAATAAAGAGAAGAAAGGTGAATGACACAGAAGAGGAATGTACTTCAAGTCAGAAAAGGGTGACTTTGAGCTCAGCTTTGTTGATCAGTATATAAATTTCAGATGATCAGTTCTCGTTTCTCCATCAATAAAATAGTGGAAATAACAGTCTTGGCTTTGGAACAAATAAATAAATGGATGTAAAAGTATAAATTGTAAAAGTTTAAATAATGTTTGTCAATTAACAGAATTAATGGTTCTTTTTTAAAAGACATTCTGTTGAGCATTCACTTTACTACAGTTGCTGTTTAAAAAGATGGAAGAGGTGCAATAATGAATAAAATAAGTAAAATCTCCCTAACCATATGGAGTTAATTTTAATGAAGGGAGACAAACAAAAACAACTACATAAGTAAAAAAAAATGTATACCAAAAGTATGATAACACAATAGAGAAAAAAATGAGGAAAAGCAAAAGAATTCAGGAAATGAAGGTGAAACTGCAATTTCCAATAAGGTTCTCAGGAACAATCTTAGTAGGTAATATATAAGCTAGGTGGGGTGTATGCCTGTAATCCCAAGACTCTGGAGACTGAGACAGGAGAATCGTTTTAAGTTCAAGACTAGCCTAGACTACAGAGGGAGCTCTAAGCTAGCCTAAGCAACATAGTAATACCTTGTATGGAAAAATACAGATATTTGGTATATTATCAGACATGAATTAAATAAATTGATTATAACAAAAAGAAGTAAGGAGGGAGAGAGGAAGGAAGGAAGAAAGGAGGGAGGGAGGGAGGGAGGGAGGAAGGGAAGGAAGGAAGGAAGGAAGGAAGGAAGGAAGGAAGGAAGGAAGGAAGGAAGGAAGGAAGGAAAGTAATATAAGCCAGGTATGGTGGCATATGCCAGCAATCACAACATTGGAAAAATGAAGGCAGAAGGATCAGTTCAAAGAAGGCTTAAGTTACATGAGAACCTCACAGAAAGAGAGAGAGAGAGAACAAAAAGAGAAGAGGTCTGAGGCAGGTGAAGATGGAGGAGAAACATTCCAGCAAATATGGACAAGAGAGGCTGCATTTTATTTAATTGCACCCTGTGGTTTCTGCATGTATTCAGGTGTCTATTTTATTCAGGTAAACATTACAAGAAGTAACAATTCCAACACATTGCTTATATTCTTATAAGCCACAAAGTGAAAAACAGTAATCTAAGAGAGCAGCACAAAACAGAAAAAAACTTTGTCAAAAGGAAACTGGCCTTACTTCCTTGCCCTCATGCTGCAGTTTTCTATTAGTATCCGTCACTTGGTTCTGTGGAGAGAAGACAGTTTAAAATCATAAAAAACAAACACTTGGACAATAGTTGAATAAAGATCAAAATTTAGTATGAGAAGACTGGGGTATCTCTAGATAACTTCTATATTCTAGCACGTAGGGATACAGCTGCAATCTCTGCAAGTTAAACTCTTAATCAACTTTTCTACTAGGCATCCTCATGACCTTTTGCAAAAGGAAAAAGAAAGCTGGTCAAAAGACATGTTTGGTTTAGATAGAATATTCCAAAGTAAGATACTACGGTGTCCCAATATCATATTGTAACTTTGGAGAGAAAGAGGGGGAAAAAAGGAAGAAAGAAAAAAATGGAAAATAATCCAAGGAGCTTTACCATCTGTACAATGTTTAGGAAAAAAATGTTAACACAGACATTTCTTAATTCACAATATATTCCTGAAAAGGCTAGGTATAATTTCAACTTTGTGAAGCAAGTCAAGTTTATACTAATTATTATCTTAATTCTACAAAATAAATTATTTAATAGTTTACAGTCATTAATAATGGCTTCTAATACTTCCATATTCCCATTAATCTCATCATCAGACAAAAATATGTGACTAAGCCTTAAATGAGCTATGATTTATAACTTAAAGGAACAAGCACACACCTTTCAATTATCTGCTTTTGATGTTTCCACTAATATAAAAATATATTTTAGAATAGTAATTTCTGTATCATCTCAGACATTATCAAAACATGGACAATATTAACTTCTAAACTTCTTAAATAGAGACTATCTAGGCTTTCACTAGTGATTTCTGCTCCTTATCCTTTTACTGCATTCTTTAACCCAGTATTCTTTTTTTTCCTCAATATGTTTTTATTTAAATTAGAAACGTGATGCTTCCCATATTAATCCCAGCTCCCTCTCCCATCCCTCCTCCTTTGTCCCTCCAACAGCCCCTCTCCAGCCCCCTACCCAATCCCCATATCATTCCCCAGGGAGGGTGAGGCCCTCCTTGGGGGGATCTCCAGAGTCTGTCATTTCATCCAGGGCAGGACGTAGGCCCTTCCCCATGTGTCCAGGCTGAGAGAGCATCCCTCTATGTGGAATGGGCTCCCAAAGTTCATTCATAGGCCATGGTAAACACTGATCAACTACCCAAGGTCCAAGAGATTTCTGAGGCCTCCTCACTGACACTACATTCATGGAGTCTGGATCAGTCCCCTGCTGGCCTCTCAGGCATCAAACTGCTTAACCCAGTATTCTTATCATGTCCCTTAGAGCATCAAGAAATATTAGCTGGAGTTATTAACACATGGGCACACATGCATTGCACACATACACACAAGGAGGGGAAAATAACAAAACTATAAATGTTCAGGAAAGGGACATAATATGGAATGTTTTCCAACCTTATTTGATTCAACATCATCTCCAGAAACTAATTATTCAAAAAGCACATTTCTCTTATTTTTACCTTAAATTATACACCATACCTGGATAATAGAGTCCACAGCATATTTGAGTATATACCCCTACTTTCAAAGTCAAAATAAAATCTGACCTCTCCAGAAAAAGATTTTATAAAATCTGAGAAAAATGGGCAATAAATATTCACATTACCTCTTTATTATTTTCCCAAGAGCACCATATGTGAAAAACACCATTAACCAAAAGACTGTGAGCTCAGTGAGAGGCAAGATAGAATGTAGCTGCCAAATGCAAATCTAGGGCATTAACTGAAGCATTACCTCAAACAGGGGCTAGCAATCTGTTTCCACTATAGTAAAATGGCAAATATTTTCAGTTTTTCAGGTCACAAAGTATCTGCAGCAACTAATCAACATGGACAGAAATGCAGCCATTAATAAAATGGTATGTGCTGGTGTGTCTAGGTTCCAATAAAACTTTATTCACAACAACAGGAGGCAAGCTGGATTTAGCCTACAAGCAAGAGTTGCCGTGCCCACTCTAAAAAAGAAGCAGATCAAATGATGAGAATGACATTCAGATGTCACGTGTCATGAAGCATGACTAAATGTAAACAAGTTTTAGGAGCCAAGTATATATTACATGAAAAACAAATGAAGTTATTTGATTCCATAGATAAAAGGCACTACAAACTATACCTGGACCCTGTACACTACACCCCACACTTTAACAATGGCTGCCTCAAATATCTTGAAGATCTAGAAGAACAGTTGCTCCTAATAAATGCCTATAACCAGAAAATAGGATTCAGCTCAAAGTTAGAGAAGGCTTTCAAGCATGTAAATAAAAGTGGTATGGTTACAGTGAATGACAGCACTATCACCTTCAAAAGTACTTATTAAATAATAAATTGGATGTTTTTATCTTATTCTAGAGGTCTCCCAAAATTAAAACCCCCAGTACAACTACATTTATCAATATTGTTCATACTATAATAGTCTTGTTCACTGCATCAATTATCAATGTTTCTAACCTCAAACTGACAGACACACATTTCACATTAAGACTTAGGAATACAGACACATACATAGAGTCATGGAGATATAGACATATACACAGAAAGAAACACACACAGAGAGGCACATAGAGACACATACATAGACACATGAATGCAGAGACACAGAAACAGAAATAAAGTCATATACACAGAGACACTCATAATTTTCAAGAAACAAGGTTTATCTTTACTACACTTTTATTTCCTATTCAATTCTATTCTGCTTAGTTTCAAGTTTTGTTAGAAATGCTGATCCATCTACACTAAACTGGTTTCATGCAAACCATCGTCAAAAACATATCTATAGAAGCCTAATCTATGTTACTGGTAAGAAAGATAATGTTTATTTTTAATTCTAGCTAATAACTGTTCAGTACTCTACAATTAAAAGAGGCTATATCAACTGTCTAGGAAGATATTTCTAATTCAAAAACAAAGATGGCAGTGCATTTACATACACACTTATGTATATATATATACATAAAATATACACAAAATAATGGCATCACGGAAAGTGCAATGTCATTGTATTAATTTAGTGTTGTAAGTGGTTAACACTTAAACTTTCCACTTCAAAATTCTTTTCTCAAGTAAAGACTCTCAAAGATTCTTCACCTAGGTCAAACAGGTCCCCTAGAGCAGAGCTTACCAGGTGTATAGCTAGACATTATTCCCAACCTCCAGAGTAACTGATTAGAGTCTGAAGTAGCCAAACAACAAACTTGAAAAATGCAGTCAGGTATTCCTTCAAAGGCATTCTGACCAATCTGAAGGGATTTGCAACTTGAGCCAAATAAAGTAGAGGAGAAAATAGGATAAAGGTGAGTATCAATCACCAATTAAGGTTGGCCATTGGTGAGATTCCAAGCAATATCCCATACTATCTGGCCTAAAGCATATTCTACATCGTTTATATCCCTTGGCCTACTGTGGAACAGGATCCCAAGAATCTGTGACAGAAGTTTACAATACACAAGAACTGTGAAACACGGAAAAAGAATAATCAAGATTGTGATAGATGTGAGGGCTGAGTGAGGACAAACAGCACATTAGCCACAAACCAAAAGACTTGTTATATCTAGAATGGGGGAAGCATCCAAAAAGTATAGAAAAGAGAAAATTAGTTAATGGCATGTACAATATCCTCAAGATAGATGAATTCTATTGTACAAATCTTAGGATCCAATGTGTTTGAGACTTCAGAATGTTGGACACTTTTATAAAAGTAATGATATTTTACATAATATATTGCATTCTATGTATGTTATATAATATCCCACAGCTAGAAATGGTATAATACCTATATCAAAAAAATTAATATTTCTATATTTAGATACTAACACATTAAATAAGTTGCAAAGTTTAATGATTTAATATCCATTTAAGTCATGTTTTACAGTCAAATGATTTTTTTTAAAGTACTGCAGTTTTAGACTGTATTTTGTATCTAAAGCTTGCTGAGCCTTTCGGTAAAACTGTTCCTTGGGGTTTTCTTTTTTTTTAGAAATATATTCTTTGAGATGAATTTTATACTCACTGTGAAGTTAACCCCATGCAGAAAAAAATCTTATTAAGGATTCTAATTCATATTCCAACAAGAAAAACAAAAGCATAAGACTAGGAAGAAGAAATAAAACTATAATTATTGACAGAACAGATGAGGTTTCCAGAAAATGTCAAAAATGTAAACTGTTTAATATAACAGAAATTTAGGAGACTGGTCTTCAGCAAAGTCACATGTCTAAGAGAAGGATTTTCTGTGAGCAGGCTCCTTCCTGAACATGAATCTTCACCCTGTAGGCAGCACTCCACAGCCACCACAGGACTTTCCACCTTGACCTTTCAAGTAAGTATGGCAGTGCTCTCACTCCAGGGAGGAGGTTTTCATCCAGCAAAACAGCTGGTGGCTTCAAGAGTAGTCTCTTGAAACAAGCCGTCACTGATCACTGGTTCCAATTCACGTGTAGTTATCCCAATTAAATTAACTTAAAAGAGTACTTTACAGCCAAAAAGCCATAATCTTATTTATGTGGGTTTTGGTATAAATTCCTTTCCTTATTTCATAAAAATCTTTACTACACACCAGGTACAATGAGACACACCTGTAATCCCAGCACTAGGGACGCTGGGGAAGGAAGATCATCAGTTTGAGACCAGGTTAAGACACATAGGAAGAGCCTATCTCTCTTCTATAATAATAGAAGTCAAGAGATGAGAGTGAAGAAACAGCAGAGCCAGATGGACAGCACCTGAAGGTTTATACTAAGGATGCTGGACTGTGTTCTCTCTAACCTAACAAAAGTGAGCTATGTGGGCTTTTAAACCAGGAAAATGTGATCATATCTAAACTGTACATGTACTTTGTTTAGTATGATCACTTCATATCAACTTTGTGATTTTGGCCAGGCTGTCCATGTATCTTCAGTTCAATTCTACATTATAACAGAGGGAGCTAACAGAATGTACCCCATGAAAATAAAGCAAACAACATCCCATTCAGTACAGCCTCTATTCTTTCAAACAGAACTAATCAGAACCTCAGAAAAGGACAGAGGAGCAAAAGTCCAGCAACATCTCCTTACTTTGAGTTTCTGGGCTTCCCCCCGTACTTTCAGCAGCTCAGTAATAGAGTCCACAAAGCCCTGGTAGTGAAAGTTGCACATTTTCTCAATTTCTCGGTCATGATTGCGGATGCGAGATTCTAACTTCTCCATGAATCGTCCATGTTCCTCACCATCATAGACAGACCTTTAAAGAGAAAATGGCATGAAGATTACAACTTCTGATAAGAGAATTACAAACCCAGAAGAAACTTCTGTAGAAACTAGAATACTCAGGATGCAAAAACTACTAACTGTATCTACATTGCCCCATGTTAAAGGAGTCTTGGTTTTGTTTTGTCCTGGGAAAATCCAAAAAAGTTGCTTCCTAGTTCACTTAAAAACACTTGACACACTATAGGACTATCAACACAAAGTAAAAGACTTGAATTACAGCTATCCCTTTCTCCATTTAGCTGATCTAGAATTCAATTTCAGTAAATTCAACTATCCAGTCATCCCATGACTCTACACCAAGAAGCTGAAGATTACTAAAAATCACACATCCAGCCTGGCTGGATTCAATGTAACTAAATAGCAACAATCTAAGAGTCACTGAACACCACTACAAAAACCTACTGGATATGGAATATCCCTTGTCAAAATGCATGAAAACAGAAATGTTTCTGATTGGAGGAATTGTGGGAATATTTGTATGAGTTATCTGGTCTATAAGACTCAAATCTGAACAGACAATTTATTATGTTTTCATATATAATTTATAGCCTGAAGGTAAATCCATTCAGTGTCATAGTGAATTAGTGTTTTGACTACAACAGGTCACACACAAGAGGCCAACGGGACATTTTCCACTTATGACAACTGTCATGATTCTTATGAGCATTTCATACTTGAAATTTTAAAATTAGGAATGACCAACCCAAGTAGTGATTAGTACCTCAAAAACAAAATCACTTTGTATTCTCCAAAATCTCAGTGTGGGAACCTTACTTTCTCCTGCCTCTATGCTCACTCCTCCTGCTCAGCTACCACTCTATATACTTCTCAGAAAGGATGGAGGGGAATACTCTTAACTATTTCCTCTTCCCTCATGAAAATCAGCCAACCTGCTTACATCCATACTTCCTTTTCTATCTTTCCTCCACAGACAGCTTATCTGCTAATTCTAGGTCAGCCTGGTCTACAGAGCAAGTTCCAGGACAGCCAAGATTACACAAAGAAACCCTTTGGAGAAGGGACCTGTTCAACATCATGTATTTTTCCCTCTCTACCAGATTATTCTCATATCTGTATAAAGGTCACAAAAAATTTGACCTGAACTACACATCCACTCCCAGCTACCATCTAGTTTTTCTGCTATCCATCCTAACAAAATGAAGGGTTTAAACTTCCCCACTTTTACAATTGCATTTAGTTTTCAGTGCTCTAAAAGGGACAAACAAGTGTCTCAACCAACAAAGGGCCATTTATCAACAAATTACATTTAGGGAAAAGAGAGAGCTCACAAACAAAGTCTGAGTCAGTTCCACAATGTCTCAAGGACAGTTCCTGCAATGCCCTTGAAATTTACCTAACTACATCCAAAGATAAAACCTCAGCCAATTAAAAGTGTATTAATGTAACTGCTGCTTAGTTAATCAATTATGTTTGAGATTATCTAACTGTCCCTAAAATTCCCTTAGCTGTGCTTAAAAGGAGTCTGCATGCTCCACTTGTACAGTTGAACAACCCCACATATGATGGTAAATAAATGATCTTTGCTCTTACATACTATTTTAGTCTAGGGTTTTCCTTCAGCATCTTCTGGACCCTTACATTCAGTGCATTAGGTGCACTAGCTGGAATCCCTGGGGACTCCCAGCCCAATATAGAGTGTCCCCAGGGGAACCCAGTTTGTTCTCCACCAATGGGTGAGTCTGAGTGTGTCTCTGTATAGTGTTTGTCTTATTCTCCTCTGGTGTCCAGACACAATCTGGAGGCCACTGGAGGTCAGGAGGACACGCTAACTTCCTCCAGGCCAGGGGGTCCCAAGGACACTGGAGAGACTCCATCTAGTAGAGCCTGGTTATAGGACAGTTACCATCAGTCAGAACAAGAAGGTTCCACTCTATCTTTGGTTTTGGTGACTGTGGAGCCCAGGTACAGGACAGGCCACTGTCACCGCTCTGGTTTCTTTTTCTTTTTCTGTTTTTTGTACAACCTTATATTGCCTCTGTATTCTACCATGGACCCCCTTCCTTGCTGAAGCCCTGCTCACTGCCAGCCACGAGGAGAAAGAGGCAGTGGCAGAGGGAACAGAGAGGGACTGAGAGAGGCTAGCCACCAAGCTGGCAAACAGCAGAAGTGCCCAGAGCCAGGTGGAGGGCGAGGCCAATGGGTTAAGCCACAGCCACCCACCGAACCTTGAGCCTCATGTCGGTAGATGAGGCTGCATGGCACCCACAGCAGAGGAGAGGAGCAGTGACAGTGTGGCAAGGAGTTACGCAATCCAAATGTAGTGGGGAGGGAATATTTACTGACCCATTTCCATTCCCAAACCAGTTCCTTCCAGGATCCCCAATACACACACACACACACACACACACACACACACACACACACACACACACACACACACACCACTACAATTAATGACACTTATTCAATTATGCAAGTCAAGTATCTATAATCATTTCTCAAGTGTCTGACCATACTCTCCTCCATGAAATTACTACTCAACCTCCAAAACATGTTTTAGAATTGAACACATCCACCATTTCTACTTAAATCTTTATCCAAAGATATAATTTAGTCACACCAGAGAAATTCAACAGCCTCCAAAATCCCAGTATGTATTACCCATTCCCACCCACACCAAGTACATACTCCACAGAGCAGTTAAAACAATCTCTTTAAAGCAATACTTCAGACATTACCCCAGCTTAAGTCTCTCCAAAGGCTTCTGTATTAATCAGGGTTCTCTAGAGGAACAGAATTTAAAGAATGAAGAGAGAGAGAAGGAAGAGAGGAGAATTAAATATATATAGAATTTATTATATTATATATTATATAATATATATGGAATTTATTATAATGGCCTCCAGGATATGGTCCAGATAATCCAATAATGGCTACCTATGAATACAAGGTCCAAGACTGAATGTCTCAGCTGGTCTTCAATATATGCTGGATTTCCAAAGAAGCAGGCTCTTATGCCAGTAAAGGAATGGGCTTGCACCAAGAGCAAGAGCAACCAGGAAAAGAGGGAGAACTTCTTTCTTCCATGCCCTTTATATAGGCTGCCAGCTGATAGTGTGGCAGATTTAAGGCCCAGATTAAAGGTGTATCATCCCACCTCAAAGATCTGGATTAGAAGTGGATCTTCCCACTTCAAATGATTTAATTAAGAAAAAAATGCCCTCACCAGGTGTGGTAGAATCCACCATTAATCTCAGCACTCAGGAAGGCAGAGGCAGGCAAATTTCTGAAAGTTCAAGGCTAGCCTTGTCTACAGAGCTAATTCCAGGAAAGCCAGGGCTATACAGAGAAACCGTGTCAATAAAACCCAAAAGGAAGAAGGGAAGCAGAGAGAGAGAGAGGGAGGGAGGGAGGGAGGGAGGGAGGGAGGGAGGGAGGGTGGGAGGGAGGGAGGGAGGGAGGGAGGGAAAAAAATTCCTCGCAGTTGTGCCCAGCCATTTGAGTTTTAGTTCATTCCAAATGTAGTCAAGATGACAACCAAGAATAGCCATCATCGCTTCCCTTTACAAAGAAGAAAAAATCTGTATCTCTATCATGGATATGACCACACATAACCCAGGTTTTCTCTCCAATTCCAATCGTTGACACACCCTCCAGTGTCTATGATAAAGTTACAATGACTTTTTTTTAAGATTGATTTTATTTTATGTGTATGAGTACTTTACCTGAGTGTGTGTACCTTGTGCATGCCTGTGAATAATTGTGAGTCACCAAGTGGGTGCTGGGAACCAAACCAAGGAACTCTGCAAGAATACTAACTGCTCTTAACTGCTGAGTCATCTGTCCAGGCCCCCAGCAATGACTTTATTTTTAAGCCTATCTCTGTCTCAAGGATTTTATATTCTTGAGCTAATCAATGCTTATCTTTATGTCCTTAAATAATTTCATTATCACTACCACCCATGATTTATTCTGATTCTTACATAATCCACCTGAACTAGATTACATACTCAAGGACAAAAACATAGTCTTCCCCATTCACCAATCCGATGAGATAATATACACTGACTAGAACAAGCCAAAAATTATCTCTGATCCCTGATACTCCTTCACCAAACATATATTTGCTCACTGGCCATGCTTTCTGAGTCTGGAGTGATGTGTGGTACAGGATCATCAGGCACTTATCCTGTGAATAAGAAAGCTCACTTTTCTCAGCATGTCAGTTCCACTACCTAAAACACACACACACACACACACACACACACACACACACACACACACACACACACACACACACACACACTCACACACCACAATCCCAGTTAAAATTCTCAACACTGACTTTAATAAAAACACAGCAATCAAGACTCCCCTTCCTTGGAAAGAAAAGAATGAAAAAAGAAATTATAAAAAGCCCTCTAAGTGGGTGATTTTATGGCAAGAGCTATGCAGAATATACAACAACAGAACCTACCACTGATGTTTCAACAAGTTTCAAGCTTAACTTTTCCCCTTTCAAAGGAAAGGAAAGGAATCTTCTAAGTAAAGATACTCATATTCCTTGTTATGTGGGAAACTGGGGTGAGGAGGATTACTGAAAATTCTCAAGCTTAAAGATATAGGCTTGTATTATACCATTTTTTTGGTTTCATTTTCAGTATACTCCATCTCAGTAATAACTTCTATCTTAGGTTATGCCAGGAAAAATTTTCACTCATTCTCCCAAAAGATAAATGACAAACTTGAGGGGGAAAAAAGTTCCAACATTCAGAAATTCAGGAGCCAGGTATGGTAGAACATAATCCCAGCAATTAGGAAGTGGAGGCAGGAGGATGAGGAATCCAAGGCAAGTCTAATTAAATAATGTGAGGCCTCCCTAAACTATGTAAAGCCTACTCAAAGAAGGATAAGAAAAGGAAAGAAATTTAGAACTTAGATTTATTTAGATAAATAATACCTCCCTGGATTTCCTATTTAAAAACAAAACCAAAGTAAGAAACATGGATT